TATTATATATATATGGAACACCAAATCATCAAAATTCAACACGATACATCACGAAATATATTATTATAATATACTTCCTATATTTTATTCTACACATTTCAAGGTTTCTCACTTGGTACGAGCTGAATTGTTTCTTTAAACGAGAAAAAATATTTAATTATATAATATATCTGTCTATACGCTATGGTACGAGTGCGGAATCCTTGGTCAACTCCACAAGCGGAGCGTTTGAGGGGTAGTTATTGCCTTTCCTTCCTGTTTAAGAACTTGATTTATTCTTCAAAAATTTTAAATATGTATGAAATATAACCACTTGGACGATATTTGGCAAGATAATGAAAACCATTATTTTTACATATTGATTTATCATAAAGTTTTGTCAAACCGACCTACCTTAAGTTCATTACGACAACGGTTTAACGGATTGGCATATTTTATAGTCCGTATTAGTTACCTACATATATATTATACGAGTATATTTAAACAATATAACATTATATAGCTTACATATATATAGTTGAAGTCCACTTAGCACTTTAGCAGTTAGGCAAATCCTATAAAATATTGGTTAGCTAGGTTTAAATTAGCAAAAGTTACACAATTATTCTCATCACATATTTATGAGTGTTTATATATAAATAAAATTAATTTATAAAAATATTTTAAAATCACGTACGGAAATAATATTATGATACACACATAATGCATATATATTATATTTGCAATATATCAATATAAAAATTACATGAAATTATTAACATGACTATAAATAGGTAGTATATGTACCTACACAGAAAACCGAATTATCATAACTAAACTATATAAACATTATTTTCCAAGACCATCATAAGTCGACTTGCTCGTGTAAATCACGTTATGGCAGCTTTATAAATAATATATATGTATGAATTTTATTAATCATTTAGTGTCGTCTGAATTCATAACTATAATTATTATACCACTCGTACACGTAGATAAATTAAATTGCGCAGAGTATAAAATAAGTTTTTAAAAGTAATTAACAACAAAAGTATCCCATGTAAGTACTTATTTAAATTCTAAACAAATGATTAATATTCTTTAATATTTAATAGATTTCAGAAATTTTTACACAAATTATGTAAATGAGAAATTATATAGGTTAGGTTAAGCACCTATATAAACATATTAATACATATACAACACATAATAAATACATAGTTCGTAAAGGCATGTATATAGTTTAAATTAATAAATAAGAATATATATAAGACGATTACTAACTATTGTTTTCTATATGGAATCTTAAACCTTCAATGTCCTGACAATTTTAATTTAACAACAATAACGACATAAATTAAATTACTTAAAGCAATAAAAGGGGACAAGTCTGTAGGTAATATAAAATTCTTATAAATAATAAAATTTAAAAACAAATATTAGTAGGTAGTATATATAACTATAAAAGTATACATAACCTACTTACAATATAATGAAATATTATAATGATTATATAACAAAATATTATTCTTCTGTTTTAGTGCAACTTTATATACTTTATATTTTAATAACATTAATTAGACCTACGAATAATTTACTTACACTTCAAAATTATTAATTGATTTTCTGTTACCTATTTAATTCACACAATCCGACTAAACTAAATATATAATAACATTTGCATATCTAAATTGTTAATTACTAAATAGTAAATCAGAAAATATTATATTTAAATAATTAAGAATTCTATTAATTATGGTAGTAAGGAAATCGTATATCTATATAAATATTAACGATAAATACAATTAATAAATTTAAAAAACGTAAGTAAAAATATTATATACAACTGTGGGTTTATTTGAATTCTAATTTTTGGAATTTTTAATAGCTTTAGATATGATCTATATATTTTAAACCGTAATTTTTGGGTACATAGATTTACGAATTTAAAAGTATTCTTGTACGATACAAACTTAGTTTTTTCAAATCAGAACTAGAATTATTATTTTAGTGTTAAATTGATAAGCACATTTTTTTAGAAAATGATTAAGTAAATAAATCGAAATTCGAACGAGTAGTTTTTAAGATATTAAACATAATACGTTCTGAGCCATTAATAGTAATATCAGAGATAATAAATTTATAATACATGAGATTTAAGCTTATGACGATTTGAAAATATTACAGAAGTTAATAATAATTTAACAATATTTTATTATTACTTGTTAACATATTGAATATAGAATAAATAATAGATTTAATATTAAATCTATTTAATTGTTTATGTAAAATCATTTTTAAAAATAATTATCATATTTAAAGGTACTAAGCTTAATAATGTATACGCTTAGTCGAATTTTGATTTAGATGCAACAATATTTTTAGAAAAATATAATTGTCAACAATAAGAGTACAACAACAAAATTGGTGTCCTAATTTGAAATAAGTAGTTTATAGTAAAATAGTTTAAAATAATACTTTTTAAATACTATGAAAAAATATAAGAATTTGAAAATATGATATTTAAAGATACCTACTTAATTTCTCAAATCAAAATTTGAATAAATGCATTATTAAAGTAAAACAGGTGAATCAGGATGGTTAGTAATTCTCCCTGTAAGAACAATAAATGTAGACAATACAAGACAACACCATAGTCAATAGAGTGTGCATAATATTCAATATTATATAACTTAGAAGAATAACCACAACTATAAAAAAATAAAGGTATCCCTTACACAAAACGAAGAATTAGACGTAGGTTCCTACACTATACACAATACTAGACAGTAAACGCATAATAGTAAACAATGAAATAAGAGTATCAGATTGAACAAGATTGAACACGGGTTCAACGGTATTGCCGTTGGTACATGTTTACTTGCCAACATTGCTAAAAAATACCGTTTTGGGTAGATACATATAGTTATTATTTATGAGTATTATTTACGTGAAGATACACTCGTAAACTAGCTGTACCTATATATTCACATAATATTCTTCCTATTCAATTCAATATCGTCACACAATTCGAGTGCAAGGACATAATATCTTTAAGAATAATCTTGACCTCGTTTTGGTACTCCGAGATCATTAAACCTACAGAGAGTTCTTTCATTTCTTTGGGAGAAAGTAGACATGGTTAGAATAGCAGCATTCCGGTTCGAATAGCGGTGCATTTATTTTTAAAGTTTTCTAATTTTTGAGAGAAAAAAAATTACAATTTGTTTCTAACTTCAGTGTACTATATGTACAATGAAGTCATAATTTAATCCCGCCATCTATTTATAGGTATACATACTACCTTTGAGTCTGTTTATTATTATATTATACACGTGAATACAAATAAATACAATTATATATTACAACAATTGACGGATATAAATGTAAATCTAAGACTTTTAATATTCCAATGGATATTGTGAATATAAACTCTATAATACAACAACATTTAACTAATATTTTCGTCATTTTATAAATTTAAATTTGCATTTAGTAGTACAAAATTGTTATCAAATGCAAACTTTTAATATAACATAAATCTTTGATACTCATGCGCGTTATTGGTGAAAATTGTTGGATATAAGTGCTACTTTTCTATAATAATAATAATAATAATTTTATGAGAACTTAACTATGTAGTATTTTCTATATTTTATACGTATATTAGAGAACGGAACGTGTTCTACTTAATACATACAGACTTTATCTGCTGTATATATATACATAAATATATATTATGAACATATCCATTCTGTACCTATAAAGTAGCTATAACTTATAAGAATAATGTAATTAACTATGATATTTATAAATAATAATGATAATAATTTTTTTTTTCGTAGACAAATGCTACTTATTTCAAACGCGTAAAAAAATTAATTATAACAAAATAAAAGATTCCTATATTTAGGAATTAACTATGAAAATAGGTCAAGTATACTGAACCGTAAGACCATACAGACTGCAAAAAGACCACATATCGATCAATTTACCTCGTATATTATCAGAAAATATACTTTTACAACGTACTTAAAATTCGAATTGTATATAAAATCGATTTATAATATGAAACTGGGATATTCGATAAAATGCTTTTAGTTAATAATGTATGACAAAAAGTTTTAGACACGAAAATTATTATAAAATTTGCAGTAGCAGTATCTTGTGTGAAGAGTTATAATATGATTTTAATTTAACCAAGGACTTCTGTATTATAATAATATCACAATAAGTAATGAGCAATGAGCATAAAATATAGGTAGAAGACATGAAAATATTAAAATAATCTCAATTAGGTATAAAAATTACGTCATTATAAGTAAATATAACATATGATAGTAATATAATATATTTGATCGCTTTTTATTCAAATTTTAAATTTTTTTCCAGAAGTGAGTAAGTAAAACAAGTTTTTTTTTTAAATGTGCTCTAAGAATTTACCTAGCCTTTTCCCCCACTTTATAAATATAAAAACCTCCGTTGCTTATAACTTATAACCATTAGAAAAACAAACCAACAAAACCTGTTTAAAATATTCAACATTCAATTAAAAAAAAATAAATAAATTACCAACAAAAATTCCAATACAATTATTACTCATAGTAAATTGTATATATATATATGAATAAAGGGTGATTTACCAAACATTATTATTATTATTATTATTATATCATAGTGTTTAATAGAATTAATTTTTTTATCAGTCATTGATTAGTCAAACATTGTTATTAAATCAAAACACATATAACATGTACAATACTCATATTATATTTGAAAAAAATTTTGACTACGATTTAAAAAATTATAAATCCTCAGATATGTAACGAAAAATTAATAATAAATAAACCAGAATGCTGTACAATATTATATGTATGATTAGATACGTCACTCAGTGGTCGAACAACTCCCACCAGCCACGAGCTCACGAGACACTATAGAAGCGTCGTCGTCGATCCAACGGTTTTCATGTAGCGGTAGCGGCGGGAACCATGTGTTAAAATAATATGAATGTATCATTGAAGAATGAAGTTAGCTAGCCAGTCGACGGCCGGCGGTTCAGTTGGTTCATTAAACTTACCGAGCAGCGTTCTTATATTAATGTATGTGATAGACGTCGTGTGTACAATAAAATAAAAATTAAATATTACTTGTTCGAGTGCGATCGTAGTGTCATACATTTATAAATAACAAACGCGCATGAAAGTCATATGAACCTGCGTATAATAGTGTAATTGATTAATATAAAAATGTTATTTTATTAGTTTTCATCAACTTTCCTCGATAATATTCTAGCTACAATATTAAAATAATATTGCAGTGAATGAAAATAAATTCGATTTTAGTCAATAAATGATGATCCCTCATCAACCATTCAGGACTAGTTTGATTTTCACTACTGCTGTCATTTACGTATTGATTTCCCTGGTGTCCAGTAAGTAGTACAGCGCATAGATATTATCATAACCAATTTTTGATTTTTACATAAAGAATTTATAATAAATTATTATTACTAATAATATATTAATATTTTTTTGTGAGACATCATATTATATTGTTGCCTGTATAATCGCCGCGAGCAAAAAAATCATGTGTAGCAACTACTAATATATTATTTCTAGATCAGGGTCATGCGGTCAAAATAATATATGCGTGTAAATATAAAGGCGTCATATTATTATAAAATATAATACACAACAATAAAAATATTAAAAACTTGAAATCAAAAATGATTGATCATTTGCAAATGGAAGAGGCATACACAAACACATATTTTTCATAAAACGTTTGACTAATAATAGGAAGATAATAGAATGTTAAAAATAGCTTTTTTAAGTTAGAAACTTTTTGATATCATCCACAATACGAAACATAATTATTATCAGATTATTTTTTCTTTATATAATGATTAATAATTTACCATGCGTTATAAAATGAATAATAGAAATTTCTTGAATATTTTAGATTTATTTAATAAATCGACAAAGAAAAAAATTCTAACCAGCAAAAACGTAAAATACTGCAATTATGAATAATATATTCAGTAACGCGTGCAAAGTATTTTAAGTCATTGCGTTTTCTGTTTACAATAATATAATTATTGTAATAGCAGTATGGACCACATTATTAAAATAATAATTAAAGATATTGTCGCAATGTTTACGGGAAAACGCCTACATAAATAAATCATGAATACAACATATTATGATTCGCGAATAACAAAATATAATAAAATAATAAATATTACTTATAAGTTATAATTTTTATTGATAAAATATATACATTATTGATAACAACTTACTCAACAACAAAATTTTCCTATTTTAAACACCTAAAATAATCGAAATTGTCGATATTTAATAAACATAATAATAAATTGTCACGGTTTATGAAAAAAAAAATGTTATCATTTTAAACACTATTGGAAAGGAAATATTCAACGACCCACACTATCACTGGTAGTGTTATATTGCAATTTGCAGTGGTCTTATTACAATTATTATATATATATATACCGTTTGTAGTGTTCAAAATCGTATCGTTAATGATAATTCCATAAGATAATTTGTTTATTCTTCACAATATTATATAATGTAAGAAGTGAATTATTTTAAAGTTTAAGTTATCATACTATCTTAGGGACTATATAATTTTCTTAGTGTACCTATTGAAGCTGGAAACGAATACGATTGCCGAAATTGGAAGAAATACTGTAAAACACGCAACCAAACAAATTCAAAAATAATTTATTCCCAACTATTAATAACGTCTATCAATGTCGTTTTAGATATACACAGAAGTACGCTATATGCAATGTCTACGCGAAATTTGAATTTAGGCACTTAACTATTCGTATTATTGGCCAACTATTTTCGACTGTGACTATAGTCACCATTGTAGGTAACATTAATACAAATATTGCATATTATAAGGAATTGAGATCAACTTCATGTTAAAATTATTGTTCTCATTTTGAAACAAAAACGTCCTAAATACATTATAATTTCAACTTAGCAATAAACTTTAGTTATTAAAATAAAAAATTCACTAAGGGCTTGTGTATTTATAAATAAATAAAAAAATAAAATAAAATTATAATCCATTTATGACTATATTTAGGGTTTATTACCAAATAAATATTATTTTTTAAATTTTTGAGTTATTATTCTTATAATGAACAGATAAATAATTCTTAGCTAAAGTAACATTTAAATACAGAAAAAAAAGTATGCATAGAAAATTTCTAAAGTCAAGGGCGAACGAAGAATTAATAATTAATGCAAGTATATAAGACATAAACCACAAACTATTATGTCTCATGACATGTAATCTGCAGATAACAATGCACATACATAATTACATTGTTTTAAAGCTGATTCCAACAACGATCAACGTTTAGATAAAAAGTGTTTTTTTTTTTTTTTTTAATGACAATACAAGACATTGAAATTTAGTTAGGGATTTGACATGATAATTGATCGCAATAATGGCACCTATGACCTGTCAAAATTACTGTAATTGCGAATTTAAGCAAAAATAACTAATTTCTGACACAATCATCACCAAGGTCTAACCACACGAAGTATAACGATTTGACTAATTAAATGTTTATTATACAAAAAAAAAAAACTATAAGAAAACTAAACTACACGGAAATATAACGATAAATGTAAAAGAACTAAGGAGCGGTTTTGAAAAAACTTTGGAGGGAGGATGGAAAGGGGCAAATTTAGTACCACAGTATAAAAAATTATTTTCAATATTTAATCGATAATGTTTAAGCGTACTTACGTTTCATTCTTATTCTATTTTAAAACTTAATAAATTAAACATAAATTAAAATTATATTATGAAAAATTATTTTTTAATATTGACATAGCTGTATATTAAAATAAATTAATCAAGTACAAAAGGGGGATGATCATCACCATGCCTCACACTACTCCAATCTACCGTTGATATATTTTACATAATAAACTTTCAACAAATTATATCATAACACTATAAAAACACAAATTTGTATAAAAATATATTACACGCAATACCTACGAAAATAATACGCAGATAACGTAAATGATCTTTTATGGTGCAAGTTTTTATGATTACAATAACACATATAACTGTCTAGACTCTATAGGTACATGCTCGAACAAGACAGAGGACAAGTCTTAAACAATCACAATTTTCTTTATTATACAGTGCCATATTATATTAATGAAAATCGTAGAAAATGAAGATAATATCTACCATGGAACAAAACGACTGTCGATATTATAAAGATATAATAATAAAATATGTAAATGCAAACGACGTTCCAACATAAATTGTAATTACCATCCCTAAAACGCGCACGGTTAAACCACGAGAAGTTTAAGTAATTTTTATTCCATTAAATCCCTGTTCGTTATAAAATTATTATCCCTAAAAATGACTAGATTTGGGGAAGAAAATGATCTATATAGTAAAGTTGTTTTAAATATTTGATTATTTATTTTTATTTTTATTTTTTTAAGATGCTAATGGTCAAATAGATTGCTATGAGTGTTCGGTACATCCACCAGAACCATATCTGAACCAAACGAGCAGATTGTGTTCGAAGTTTGATGGTTCCGATCACTACAAAGTCCACTGTCCAAATTCTACATATTGCATGAAAAAATCGTTTCAACTTGAACTACAGGCCGGAAGTACGTATATATAAAATATATAATATAGAAAATAGTAATAATACCTGATCGAACAAATTATATAAGCATGTTTTTTTATACCATAATATTAAACTTATCGGTATTCGTTATTAATTCATGATTGTGAATTGAATGCACTTATAACAAGCATGTACTTTACACTAAAAATAAAATATGAGTATTAAATTTAAAGTTATTAATGCAGAATTATAAAAAAAAGTATTTAAATATATACTTTAAAACACCATTTTTAAAATTAAATAATAACATACTTTTTGTGGATTTCGATGGTACTATATACTATATACATTTTTAAACAAATATACTTAAACTGGAATATCTTGAAAAACGTGCACTTATATATAAAATATTAAAATACTGAAAAAATCAAAATAAAATAACGTGTATACAGTAATATAATAATAAACGTTGATTGAACTTAATTATATTCTTTCTAAAAATAAAAAAGTCAAAAAACATGCAAATACATTAAATTCACAGCCCTGATTATATTACATTATTGCAACTATTAATTGTTTAATGCAAGTTGTTTATAATATGTACAGAAATCGTAAAAGGAAATGTGAGGGGTTGTGCGTCACAGAAATACGATTATCAGGTTTACAAGAACGGGTCGTGGAAAGTCGAGTCAGCCGTCGAGTACGATTCGCTCAAAAAAGGATGCTTTTCTGGCAACGATGACCAACTGAGGACAGCGGAAACGCAGTTCTGCTACTGCGACGACAACCTTTGCAACAATGCCAAACAAACTACGAACTTTTCCAGCCATACGGATACGATTGCCGTGATCATCATTTACAACATTATGAGGTTTCTAAAAACCCACACGCAGCCGGCATAACATAACTTTCGTATACGTCGCGTGGCGTTTAGAAATTTTGGCCAACTGTACAAAGACTAAATATATAATAAATGAAAAAACATAAAATGCTAAAACAACATGTGACGTGGATGAGGACATAGGCATTTTTGGTTTTTTAATATACTAATTGGACCAACGTCCAAAATGTACGTTGTTATCTTATTGTTATAATATTATAATAATTTATTTAACATCTATTTTTCGTTCAAATCTAGATTTACCTATATCTTATATACCTACTACAATAGAGTTATAGTCGATTGTACAACGAATACACTATACGCGAAAATAACACTAAGTTGGTATAATATGATATTAAATTTATCTATATTTGATCAATGATCATCGACTAGAAGATATAAAATTATTGTAAGAGAATATTATAATAGAAATCTATGATAAAACAAAATTATAAGAATAATTTAATTAGTTTTAAACAAGACTTGGCTGTGTTTATTAATTATTTATATATTAAGAATACACGTTAAATATGTATTTTTGTTTTTTTTTATCCTACTGATATAATACATCTACTATACTACAAAGCGAATTGCAATGTATACTTTATACAATAAAATATAATGTAATAACGGAAAACGAGTATTTCAACTTTGTATAACACAATGATATATAGGTATTCAATACGAATTATGTAACTTGTTTAGATCTAAAACCCATACAAGCCATGTATGGTAATACTTATAGCTTATAGGTATAATTGGAGTTTTGTAAATTACCCACGTGATATGGCGTTTTTAACAAACAGATATAATAATTCATTATAGGTACTATAATACAGTAGAATAACTTTAAAATTTTAACAGACAATAAAATTTCAGAATCTACTTTTTGAAGTACTAAGGTATATTATTTATCATTATGAACAAGAGAGTTTTCATTAAAATTACTAAAACGTCATATCCATTGCTCCTTCCTTCCTTTCTTATTATCAATAACAAAAATTAGTACTTCAGAGACCTTAAATAAAAGAAACCGACAAGTTGGTTATGGCTTTGCTGTACATTAAGAGTCAACTGTACCTCGTTATTGAATAGGTTACTTTAATGGGTGTGTTCAAATTGAATTCAATGTCAAAACATTGCAAACAACCAAAACCAGTCTGTTAACCAAAATAATGAAGTTTATTTTATCATATATATATATAATTTATATGAATTAAATGAAATTCCCCAAAAATATTTTTTAGTTACAACAAAATTACTAAATAATTTATCTAATTCCGTCAAAATTTTAACTTCAATTGCTTATAAAAAAAATTGTGCAAATGTATTTTAAATATTTTTAAATTGCTAAAAAAAAGAACTTTTGTGGGATCTTTAATTTTTTTTATGGAATATACATTTTTTTTGATGAATTTTATAGAAAAGTATTAAAAGAAAACTCAAATTTCAAATGTCTATAAATTGCTTAAATATTGAAATATTTTGATAATTATACCATGACTGTATGCAATGTAAAGAAAATGCTAACATAAACATTAACTGAAAAATTCAAACATTTATGGTTATTCACTTTTGAATTTCAGCAAAATAATAAAATCAATTTTTTTACTAATAATTATTGAAAAATTTAGTTTTATTCTAATTTTTTTCAAATTATTAAAAAAGATGCTAGACTTAATTTTTTTTTTTTTTTTTTTGACCCCCAAAAATAATTATTAAATTCACTAACCAATCATAAATAAATCTAAAACAAAAATGTCATTATTATTTTTTTTAAAGTAAGGTGTATAGCACATTTATTTACCAAGAGTTAAAAATATGAAATTATAAGCAAATTTCAAAAAAATACTACCTAATTGAATCTTTCAAATTAAGTAGGTTAGTTGGAGAAAAACAAAACATTTTTAAACTTTTGCACGTTTACTACTTAATAAATTAATTTGTTTTAAAAATAACAGGCATAAAACTAACATACACCTACATAGTTAAAAATGTATTCCAATTCTGACTGTTTTAGCAGTTTTAATTTTGCTTGCTATAATTAATTACTCTAGTATATGATATAAGAAAAAAACAATATATACATACCTGGGAACTATGCTCAACTACATACAAGAATACAACATCTTCTCTTCTAAGCCTAACAGCTGAGTGCAGAGGGTATTTGGTCTTGCTCTTAAACATGTGGTATAAAAATTGTGCTGACATATGTGCAAAATCGTCACTAGTAAAATCATCCTATAAATATTTATTAAATACAATTATTAGAACAATATTTCAAAAAAATAATTAAAATGTTTTACTAAATAACAATTTATTAAAAAATAAAATCATCAAATTTGTTTACCATTAGTGTTATTTTAGAAAATTATTTATAAAAATATTAAACTCATTAAATATTTTATAGTTTATAATTTAATTAAATTTAGAAAAAAATATTCCTCTAAAAAAGAAACAACAAAACTTTTTTTTAGAACTTAGGTTAATAATCAAGAGTCGTATTTGTCATCATAAAAACCATGGAATATAGCTGTATTTCATACAAAAAAACATTATGATTATTTTATATTATCTATTGTTGAAGAACAGATCTTTCACAAGATCATAAGAACATAATCTATCTATAGTTAATTTCAATGTAGAATCTAGTTATATCTAAGCTAATTATTCTAAATAGTTGATTAATAAAATATTTGATAGTTAAATTACTAATAATTATTTATGATAATCAACATTATCTTTATTTATTACAAAAAAAGATAAATAAAAGGGTACAATGTATTCATGAGTAAATAAACCTTATTGAACATGAAATTATTTTTATGAACATAATAAAATATCAAATAAACGAATTTACTTATTATACTCAAAGTAATAAAATTAAAATTGATTATTATTTTTTTTTTTTTTACACAACACTTACCCAATGAGCTGATATTAAACTTGAACAATGTTCTTTTAATGTTTGAGCTCCGATCTCATCAGCAGTTGTATAAAACTTTACACAGTTTTTTACATTTACAGAGGCCATAAGTGCTTTTTCACATCTAAAACAAAGAAAAAATAATAATTTAGAGTTTAAAATTAAAAACCATTTAAAAAATAATAAAATAAAATAATATAAAGCAAGTGTTCTCCACCTTTAGAGATTTGTGCCCCCTTCAAACTATTGTATGAGTTCAAACCTCATATGATGTGTGCATAATATATATTATACATAACATACTTTAATGTTGGATATCATATTTTTTTTCAACATTTTAACACTTCTCCCTGAAATTTTGTCATGCCTCCTTTTTTTTTTTTTTTTTGGGGGGGGGGGAAGGTTGAGAAGCCTTGGTATAAAGTTACGTAGTTAATAAATAATATAGTATATACTAGATTTAGTAACAATTAATTTGCATGATAATCATAGATATTTAATATTTATAAGACTATTACTAACTTTCAGTAATTCATTTTCCTGACAATAACATTTAAAATTGTATTTAATTAAATTTATTTTATTAATCCTATATCACACAAATATGGTTGATAATATAATTATTTATATTTGATGTCATTAAATATTATTGACCGGATACAAAAAATACAGCTATTTAATTAATAGTTATTTATTATTATTATTATTATTATTATTATTATTATGTATTTATTCATACATTTTAGTTTTAACTTTTTATTAATATAATAAATTTTATTCTACGTGCATATTATTATGCAGGTAGACACAGAATTATTTATCATATTACATAGAATTCTTTTATACTTATAATTACTTAAGTGATTACAACAACTTAAACCACTCTGTATAATTTTCACTTAAAATTAATAATTTATTTTAAACACGTGTAATTTGTAAATACTTATGCACTAAATATGTTGATAATCAAAAATTATAAATAATATAATGATAAAAAAAATGGTTTTTTAATTTTATTAATATGATTATAATTGTATAGCATTAAGTCTAATTTTCATTATCATGGATTTTAAAAATGCATTTATCACTATTAACCATTTATTAAAATATCTTGATGTCAGTTACCCACTAATTTGATAGATTAAATCATACATTACTGGCAGGAAGCAATTTGCAAAAGTAAATAGCTGGTATTATATCTTGTATAATTAAGATTACCTTTGGGTGTCTTTTAAGGCAGGCATTTCAGTTCTTCACTATTTTCCTTTTTTATTAATTTTGTCTCAGTATTTTAGTGGGGCCAACTTTCTTTGTTTCGCTGATTACATCAATTTTTTTTTTTTTTAAATTCAGTCAAGAATATTGATAATATTATTTTATTTTCTGCCTTTATTTATCTTTTATTTTATTTTTAACTATTTAGGACTTACTCCCTTGATATAGACAAACATCATTTAAATAACTTCATAAATCATATATTCTGTCAAATAAAGTTAATTCTATCAATAGTTCTCCACTTGCTCAAGTAACTTAAATAACAGATCTCTAAAAACATTATATGTCTTTCCTTACTTTATACAAATACATCAACTTCAAGTTAGCTTGTGCTTTCATAGTTTTTAAATTTATCAAGCACAATAGTTAGTTCTTGATCTCAGTTAATTACATTTGATCCCTCAACTTTGCTATTTTACTGTCAATTTTTGAGTAGATATCTACCAAATGCAAAAAACCAACTAGTCTGAAGCAAATACAAAATTAGTTTCACTCCTTTTAAAATTTATGCTCAATGTTAAAGTACCTTACTGCCTTTTATTCTTTCTATCTATACTACTATAAATAACATTTTTTTTATCTTCCTATCCTTGACAACTTTTTAAATGTTCTATTATTATTTGCTTTTGGCTAATTTAAAGTTCTTACTTATGCCAAACTAAACCGTCATGCTTAGGCTTATCATACCATACTATAGACAATAATTATAATCAACATACAACATAGAATACTACATAGTGCTAATCATGTTAAGATTTAGTTCATAGCTCAGTTTATTTTGATAACCTATTTACATATGTAATTTTATTTTATTATCGAGTGCAAACTATAAGTAATTTACCTATCATACAATTTGTTAATAACTAATTGAAATTTGCCAATCATTATTTGGTTTAAAATACATAAAAAGATAAATAATGAGGATAATACACTTGGATGCTCTCATAAAAGTAGGAAAAACTCTACATATTGTTCTCAAGTGTTAATTATATAAATAAATTAAAATATTAAGTTAATATTAACATAAAAATATAATAAATAATAATAATTCAAGTTAAATACCAAATTATTCAATTAAAGATTAAAGCATAACTAGCAGATAAAAATTATAGATTTTTATCATAATAGATCATGAATTTTACTTTTGAAAGAAAATTAAATTAAATTTTTGTTCAATAGTTATACAAAATATCTAGTTATGTGATACTATTTTTATTAGAATAATATATATTAAAATACATATTATAAATATTCATATTTTTATAAATTTTAAAACATATCTATTTGTCATTAAAAAAAAATTTCCAATGCAACTTCAAATCTTTACTAAATTCTTAATCAATTTTAAAAAACAAAAATAATTTAAAAGTAAATGTAAAACAATTTTATAGCTTAGCCAAATATTAAAAACTAGACAAACTAAATAAGTTTAAGAAACCTCATTATGTGAGGGGAAAGTAATTATGCAGAGAAATTGAAAGTATTGTAAAAATATTAAAACCATTGGTTATTATTTTATCAATTTTTTTCAATTAAAGTGGATTTTATTATTTTATTTCTCATATGTTGTATCTTTGAAAATTTAGTAAACATGATTAAATAATGACGTTTAAGATGATTTTATAAACAAGACAAATTCATCAAAATATCATATTACAAATGCATATAACAACAGATTTATCAGATATTTGTGTGTAAATCATGGTTTTAGCCAAAAATGGTGATATTTTAATGGATGTAGAATAAATTTAAATAAGGGATATCAATAAAAATGCTATTAGCTAATCTCCAGTAATAAACCATTGCAGTGATTATTGTCTATTAGGTTTCTAAAGATAAACAAAAATAAGATTAATGGTTATCAGTAAACGGCAATTAATCTTGTAAAATCATATATTTAATACAATTTTTTTAATAAAATCATAACTATAAACTATACTTTTAAAATTGTATTGAAGGTAATAACTTACTTGTTAACTAAGTCATCTAAAACAAATGTGTCTGCAGTTTTCATCAAGCTTAAAATGAAACCATCACCTTTTGAGAAATCTACTTGATCTGTGTAAATCCATTTTAGTAATGCTTTTCCGACATCCAAGGGCAATGCAGTCCAATCTAAATTATGAAAAATTTAATAAGACTATTATCATATACTATGCATTCTAAATAATATTTACCTAAATAAATAACTTCGGTCAAATCAGGAACTCCCCATTTATCACTTCTTGATGATAATACAAACTTATGAGCTGGAACATCGCCATTTGCCAATGTTATATTTAAATCACTAGAATTATAAATTAATAGATAGGTAATAGTAAAAATAAAAAATAAACACTTAAAAGTTTACCTGTAAAGTGAGTTGTTATACAGTGTTGTTACTGTTTTCAAAAGCCTGGAGACAAAACTATTGTCATTACAATCACCATGTGTTGCAGCTAATGTGGCATGTTTTTTTTCCAACTCATTGCAATACGCTTGGAGTTTCACATATTCATCTTTCAACAATGAAAGGTGTTGTTGCTGTTTATGCTTTTCAGAGTCTCCAGACATTCCTTAATTATCAGTTACAGACAAAATATTACTATACTATGAATGAATTCTAACAGTTCAATATATTATACAATCAAAGTGGTGCCTTAAAATTAAATTATTTTATTTTACCAAAGAAGTAACTTTTTTTGTAATTAATTTTAGTGTTGAGTGAGATATGTATCCAGATAACTCACAAGAAAGCTTCAACACTTTATAAGAACCTTAATTTTAACTGATAATGTTTAAAAATGCCCCTACCAAGAAACTTTTTTTCTATTGCGTCTATTTATGTCTAAATATTACCTATAATTACTCATTACAAATGAAACCAGTATATTATTGTATCCAACTAATATGAATATTGGTATACTTGCATAGTTTAATATTTAACTTAATACAACTTTTTTATAAGTTATAACTTACATTTACGTTTAAGTACCACTTAATGAATTACTTACAATCTGTGATTCGTTGGACCACTTAACATATATAGTTGAAATGAAGGGCATTATATACATATAAGTACCCCATAAATTTTGACGTTTTAAAAATATTTTTATTTTTTTATTTAGTGACAATTTACAATCTATAAAATAAGTATATGAGTGAGAATGAATAAAAAATGAGGTGAGAAAAAAAGACAATGAATAAGAGTTTTGCATTCAAAACTCATAGACATGGCCACATAGGTGGTAAGTTTAAAAAAAAATAATAAAATTCATATTAAGTGTGATGTTACGTCTGGGTCATTTGCGTTTCAAGTGTTTCATTTTGGAGTATAGGCATAGGTATTATGTGATAGCTTTTTATCTTATGGTTGGGATTTTAAGATCATTATGTAGAGCAACATTTGTAACATATCAAGGGATTATAGTTATCATGTAGAGGCAGATGACTTGGAACACTTGTATGATTTTTGTCTTTGATGGTTTAGCAGTATCCTAGAGAGCGATTTGTAGAGCAGTTATTTAATTGATTACATTCGGTTTTGAGATGGGAACCCTGAGTGAGCCTTCTGTTAAATAATAGACTAAGATATTTGACTTTATTTGTTTGAGGAATGGTCGCATTCTCAAATTGTATGTGAAGACAGTCATTGGAGCGAAAGGAAAAAGTGACATGGTAAAATTTAGAGTAGTTGATCTTAAATTCCAAAATTTAAACTAGTGAGATAGGCTGATCAGATGGCTTTGAAGTAGGCCGCATGCTTTGAGAAAGTGAACTGAATAAAAGAATTGTGGTGTCATCAGCATAAATCCTTAACACGTTAACCGCCATATGACCACCGGCAGTCATTCAATAAGTACTTTTTATACGCTATAGGTACACTAAATATTTTAAAAAAATTGAAAAAAATAAATATATTATAGGTACCTATATCAAAAAAATTGTAATAATTCCTACTACTCCAGGCTCCTTATTTTGGTGCATTATTGTAGCACTATAGAAATGTTAATAATATAAAACTAAATTAATTTATGGTCACCGGTGGTCACAAATGAATAAAATCTGAGAATTACAAATGACCGCCAGTAGTCATATGGCAGTTAACATGATAAATATTAAATATTTAACCACCTTTTGATCATCGCTAAACTTGGTAGCACTAGGACCCATAAAAAGTAGAAGATTGAAGCCTTTTTCCTTTAAACATAGACATTAAAATACTAAAATTGATGTTAGAACTTAGAAGCTGACAATACAAAATGGCTATTATAGTAATGATATCATTGTTTTATTGCTTATAAATAATATTGTAGATCAGTTTAAAAATAAAATTTTCAAGGCTTAGTTTGATTAAAAATATATAACTTATTTTTATGTTTTTTATGCCTTAGTAAAAATACAGTGATTTCCAACATAGATGTACTTAGAGAAGAATAACCTAAACATGCAAAAATTACATTAGTGTATTTTAGTTTACAATAATGGAAAAAAATAGAAAAGTAAACCAAAGAAATTATTTTAGAAAGGAAAAAATAAAAATAAGAAATTTCAACAGGTATCTATTTGAACATTTTTTATGTATTCATATTATGATAAGTACCCAATAAAATTAAAATTACTTAGATATAAAAAAAAAATAATTTAAATTGAAAAGTAAAGACAATATAATTTAAGAAGTAAAATTCAAAACACAAATGTCAAAATATTAATGTCATACCTAACTGAGCAATAAAATTAACTGTATGAATATGTATTATATAAACAGAAACTCCCACTCATCACTATCTACGCGTGTACGTCAAACATAAAGAGTAAATAAATGAAACTCAGACACGTATTTTGATTAAATTCGATGTTCATAAGTAATGGGTTATCAAAAGAATGTAGTAAAATTTAAAAAAGAAATCTGATGGATGTCAAGTCGATTAGATATCACACATAGAACGAAATCCAAAAGTTTTAGTAACTAACCGGCGAAACGAATACCGCCGGAAACTAACCTTCTCTGTACAGTTCGGCGGCTGGCATTATCGACGATGGGACTGCGAACGATTACATCGGTTTTCTAGAAAACTTCGTTGACGCAGTGGAAAAATCCTAGGCGGACTTTCAGACCTCTATCCGATCTATCAGACGATACACTGTTAAGTGTAAACGTCAAACGGCCATCAACAGCTATTCAACATTGAGCTATTGGCTATTACGGGCTACGACTTAACAGCGAATAAACTGTAGAGAAATTATTATACAATGTTGTATCTTTTATCAATGAGCTTGCGTATAATATGTAAAAAGTCACCGATTGATAACGCAATATACCAATGGTTAGTTGAAAAGGCGTAACCACCGGTAGAGATTGATAATACGATATTCAGTGTTAGACGAGTGGTTATCACTATTTAGGATCTTCTGAGATAGTCATTTAAATCTTGGATAAAAATTAATTTTAATTATTTGTAGACACATTTTATTTATCATTTATCGAACTTGGTCGTCAACATCGAAATCCAAAACGTATCGGTGATCAATACTCACAATATGCATTGGGTGTGAAAAAACAATTGATAACACAAGTTATATAGGCGAACTACACAATTATACAATGAACATGTATCTGCGAGTGTTGACATTTTATTGATCTCATTTTCGAGATGGAACCTTTACAGCAATTGGCTATACACATTATACACCAAGCGTACCTATATATACCATATTGGCCGCAGCTTGTTTCCAATAGTGAATGTTAAATTGAATACCTTTAATGGTAACACATCTACTAGTTTGCATCAGGATAACTAGTAACCATAAACCTTACTCTTATAATCCTTATACGTATAAAGTCTATACTAGTAACCAATATATTTACTTATTTACTAATACTAGACACGAGTCTTAAAAAACATACTTCCCATAACTATTATACTTTTCCAAGTCTCAGAATTATTTTCAATTTTGTCGACATGAGATATCTTACTTAGGACTTTTAAAACATAGGATATTAATCAATTATTATACGTTGAATCAATGAATAAATAACGGTAAAAATAATAAAATTGTTAATGCCAAATACGACTTCAATGGGTACACTAATCAGCAAGTTTTAAATTACATAATTGAAATGTTAATTCTCATTTAAAATCATAAAAGTTCTGTTTTTAGGACTTTAATAGGTTAATATAAGGTATAGTCAATAGGTTTGATTTTTTTGGTATTTATTATAAATTGTCAAATAATGAAATTGTACAATTATTTAGCAGCAGCTGTGGCCTTCTCTTCTTCACGAATCCTGTCCTTCTTTAATGGACCCATGAAAGCAGCCTTATCAGCAACAGTCTGGAAACGTCCATGACCAAATTTGGATGAGGTATCGATGAATTTCAAGTTGATACTTTCCAAAGCAGCACGTTTTGTGTGTACCAACAATGACTAAAAATAAAACATTTAGTTAGGCACAAAATACAACATAAAAAATTTAAGAATCCAGTAATATTTTAATGTCAGAAATATTTTTACAAAACATGACCTCAGTCCTATCAATGCGTTAAACATAAACAATCATTAAACATATCATGAAAAATGGCTCTAAATTGTTGTGCATCATTGGTCATACTTTGAAAATTATTATCATTTAGAAATTGTAACTTAAAAAAAGACCTCGGTCCTATCATCAATGCGATAAAAAAAAAAATTCATGTGGAATTCATTGATTAATGGCTCTAGTAATAAAATCGTCATAGGTCAATAATTGTCTTATGAATTTATATGGTAACATTAAAAACAAAACATGTACCATAAACAATTAGATATTATTATAATATCTCAAAGAGTAATCTAAAGAATAACCTAGGAAAATCAATATACCAAAAGCTTGCCATCCAAATAATTTATTCATTTTCACATGAACATAAAATTAGTCATACAGATTTATTACTTCATTAGAAATACATAATTTATATAATTATGTACGATAAATATAAATGAGAAAAGGAGTAATGAAAAATAATATTAAATTTGCATGAATAACAAAGAGTTACCCATTAGCAGCACCTTAACTGTAAATTGATTTTATTTTAAATATAACAAAAAATATTACCATGAACAGGTAAGTTTCGCAGAAATAAATTAATAAGTGAAGCTATTAAAAAAAATTTCTTTCATGATAAAAGGTAAACTAACTTTCATTATTTAACATTCTAAACATACACAAATCTTAGTAAAATTTATAAATATTTTATCTTTTTAGCCTGCAGTACATAGCTGGTCATTGTTTATTACACAATAATGAAATACAAAATTGGTTAATATAAAAAAAACCTTTAAGATATTTCTAAGTTTGCTTTGAAAAAACCTCAGATAATTGGGATAAAGCATTTAGTTCACAGACATTCATAGGATTGGCTCTGGTTTTTCATCACAGGTTTTTTCAAACACAAAAATATTTAATAAATAAAAAACTTACTTTACGGAGAGTAATAACTCGTTTCTTAGGGCCAACACAACATCCCTTAATCATAAGGAAATCATTGTTGACTTCACCATAATGTGGAAAACCTCCCATGGGAGTAATAGTCTTCTCGGTCAAATCATACTCAGTTGATGCGTTATTTTTAATGACCTATAAAATGAATTAAGATATTAGATATTTTACAACATAATAGTAACAAAATAATTACAAAACCCTTATTATATAAATAATTTTGCATGTATCTAGCATGGTCTACTAGCAGGTCATAATCTGATTGACTCGTACAAGTAATGGAACACTAACCTAACCATGTTTATACCAAGACTAGAAGATTAAATTAAATTTGAGAAAATTAAAACAAAGATCCTTATTATGTGTGAATAATTACTTATAAACTATTCAATCATATCAAATGTATTAAAAATGTCTTGATAAGTCAGTAGGAAGGCAGCATGAGGGTATCTTCATAAATTTCAAGAAAGCAAACATCATGTGTTATCATCATTCAACACAAGACAATTCTAAAAAACGAAATGTGCTAGGCATGGTCTACTAGTAAGTCACCGCCCGATGGACTCTTACACGTGACGGAATAATGCCAACCATTAACACCAACTCAAACACAAGGTTTAGTGGATTAATTTCATTTTTGATGTGATAGCCTATACATCTCAATATTGTTCAAGATCCTTATACTATCAAAATAGTGAGACTATTTCATCAGTTAGATATAATTAAAAAAAACTGCAATTTTTAAGTCTTGGTTTGTCAGTAGGAAGGCAGCATGGTGATATCTTCATAAATTTCAAGAATGCAAACATCATGTGTTATCATCATTCAACCCAAGACATTATTATAATTAAAATGTACCAGGCATGGTCTACTAGCAAGTCACTGCCCGATGGGCTCTTGCACGTTACGGAATAATGCCCAATTTTAGCTTCAAATCCTAACTCGAAAGTTAGGCGAGCTAAATTACTTTATGATGTATACGGTATATACGTTGCTATTTAAACAACACTTTCACCGATTGATTATCAAAGATAATCCATCAATAAAATAGCTTATTAAACAAAAAAAAAATATGTAATTACCTTTCCATCTTTAGTATGAATTCCAAGACCAATTCGGTATATCTTCTTATTGATTTCAGTTCGATGATGGTAACCTTTTTGACCAGCACGAGCAACAGTGAACTGGACACGACTGGGATGCCATGCTCCAATACAAGCAACCTTACGAAGACCTTTATGAGTCTTACGGGGCAATTTCTTTGTATGCCAACGGGATGTAACACCTGAATGATATGGAATACATTAATTTCAATAAAAACAGAATAAAAATATAAAACTATACCTTTGTATCCACGACCCTTAGTGACACCAATACAATCAATCATCTCATCTGGAGCAAAAACATGAGAAACGGGTACTGGCTTCTCAAAATGTTCTTTGGCCCATTGCACTTTTTCAGCAACTGTACCTCCATTAACTTGGATTTCCATGATATGAGCCTTCTTTTGACGTTTCTTCAATAATTTCATCTATAAATGCAAATAATAAAACGTTGATCAAAAAAATAAAATCTAATACAATATGGAATTACACTAAAGATAAACCTCAGACCGCCCTAGGGGTTGACATCAATTAATTTCAGTGTCTAACTGTATTAATATTATTCATCATCGGTGAAACAAAATAAAAACCATATGCAACTAATATATTATTACCTGAGTATGAGCAACAACACGGATAACTTTAGAGTACTTGGCAATCTTAGCAAGGTCTTTGGCAATTTGTCTCTTGCCGTTTTCATCTTGCCACTTCCTCGAGTATTTGACAAAAGCCTTCTTCTTTGATTTGTACCTAAAGATAGGACACATAAATGAAGAGCGGTCTCATCATAGACTATGTCTAGATTGGAGACACAACTAACTTCTTGCCATCATTCAAATCATTTGAACCCACTGGCAATAGGTATAACTCTCATCCGCTAGCGGAGAGGAGAGATAAATGGTTAGTTATTTACACAGAAACAATAAATCGTTAATCTGAGTATATAAAAATTACATTAAAAATAGCCTCAGACCGCCCTAGTGAAGTAACATCACAATATTCAGTTAATCTAACTGTAAACATTTTTTAACTAAATCATCATTGGCTGAAATTAAATAAGTAGTTTATATTGAAACTTACCAGTTCTTATAGAAGCGTCTACGACAATCTTCAGACAAATGTTCAGCGAACACTGTCTTCAAAGGTTTAAGACCATATGGAGTTTCAACATAACCTACAACACCAACAATGATCATGGGTGGAGCTTCCAAAATGGTTACAGGCTCTACAATCTCCTTCTTGTTGAGTTCTTAAACAAACATTAATCTTTCAGTTAAAACATATCAGATACAAGTTATTAACCAATAAAAAACATACTTGATCCTGGACGGTCAGCTTCGCGAACAACATGGGTCATACCAGCTTTGTATGCAATGAAAGCAGTTAAATGAATAGGCTTGCTAGGATCATCTTTAGGGAAAGACTTTACTCTACCACGATGACGACGTGCGCGCTTCTTTGGGTAGAAACCCATAGAACCATGACGAGGAGCACTAAATTTACGATGCGACTGTAAAAAGCATGAATAAATATCTTATTAAAAAAAAACCACATGACAAAGTCAAGTTACATAACTGAAACTTCAATAATGGAAAAAAAAGTAACAAAGGTAGAACAAAAAACAAGCATTCGCGAATGAATTAATGAAGTATTAAGCGTATTTACCAACACGTGGAATTTAATATTCGTAAAAACTTCGATCACTTATGCTATTACCGATATAATATTTAAACTCGAAGGGTTGGCAAACATCAGTAATAAAATATGATACAAATACACTACCTACTTATAGATAATAAACAAATATTTTGAACACAAATACACAAGTATATACCATTTTTACATAAATTACAAAAATTGTAACAAGACATTTAAACAGTACAACCGCATGTCTTAACACTTAAATTAAGTAGGTGCGTCTCAGTTAAAACATTTTCATAAGGAATTCGGCCAACGTGCTCCCTAACCTTAAATTCACCAAGATGGTAATGAAATCCGAATTTAAGAGAAAGTGTAAAAATGTGTTAAAAGAATACGTCAAGAGTCAGAAAATCATTCGTGTTAAGGAACATTGGCAAAAAACGTGAAATCTATTGGATAATGTTTTGTCCGCCAAGTACGTATGGTGCAGACGTATACATAAAAACGGAAATGAAAACGCAACATTTCCGAAGAGAGTATGACAGAAAATTAAGGAAATACAGTCTCGCAAATAGAAACATCAAACAAATACTTACCATATTCGATGAAGTAGTCGATCGAAGTGGATGAAAAAAATTTAATTAAATACTTTGAAAAAGTGGATGGTGCGAAAGACGCGACAACCACCGTACTACGAACGATGATGATCCCAAAGGAAATGAACGATTACACTGAGGGCAGTAGTGCAGTACCCACTACTCTATGATTTAGTGGGACTGGAAGGGGGAAGGGTACATACAAAAGCGTTTCGTGGCGGTAGTCGCGTACAGTGCCGCCAACTGCGAAAACTGACAAATATCCAAGGAGAACGGAAAACGACGCCGAAGAAGTTTTTTAAGGTTGTGTTCGTACTTGACCACTCCCGAATATGTTGGAAAACAGTATTTTCTGATTGTGCACTTTATACCATCAGAACCGCAATAACAATAATAGACGGACGAGATAAATGATAATAATTGATAATCATCCGAATTCCGTCTGTGAGAGTGGTAAATTATAATTAGAACTTGGAAAGAATATTTTGGATTAGTTGACCGAGTTGATTCAATCACTGTGCAACTTGCAGGGTGCAGGCTACAGCTGGACTGTTTTCGGGAACTGCCGTTATCAAATTTTTAAAACTTTTAAAGGTCAACAGGTCCATTGATTATGAACGCCGAGTAACAAAAAGTCAATACCTATATTAATTTGCTGCCGCGTCTTAACACTCTTAACGTTACCTAAATCTATTTACGAATCATCTTAATTGTCTACGGCCTACGGGTTTGTCCAAACCAAAATAGAGACCGAAACCACCATTACACTCATTACAGACAATCGTGCCTTGCTATCTACTTAGTCGTAGTTCTGCCTGGTACTAATGCTTTTACACATCGTTGATTCTGCAAAAATGGATAGCTATAAGGGTTCACTATCCGTTGTCGATGTCTATGATATGGCACAGGACATCGGTCGAGAGTTTGAGTCCATCATAGATACGTATGGCACTGACTCCATAACTGGACTGATGCCCAAGGTGGTATCCGCTCTAGAGCAGATGGAAATATTGGCCATGAAGAATGAACGAGAAAACACGACTGTGGAAGACCTGCGATCAACGATACAACAATTGGAAATGGATAAGCAGGAACGAACCGAGGACAGGATGAAATATGAGAAGGTATATCTGTTTTAAATATTATATTAGATTCTGAACTACATACTTAAACATAACATATGTTTTAACTTATTGTGTTTCACCATGTTGTAGGAGATGGAACAAATCGAAGATAAGTGGCGCGAAGACTATAATGAATTATTGACTACTGTTTCTAGACTTCAAGATGATAACCGTAAATTGACAGAGTCTTTACAAGCTGCCGAAAAGGATAAGATTGTTGATTCAAAATGTATCACTTTAAAAAAAAATTTTTAATTTCATGTCATTAACTGGTTATTAACTTTTAGCACAAGTTTTGAGTCCAGATGTTGATACTGTTGCTCTTCAACGTCTACGCCATACTGTTGATCAAATGCGTGATAGCATTAGAAATTATGAACATCAATTAAATTCAAAGAGTAATGAAGTTGATTCTGTGAGTTGACATTGTGATAATTTTATATTGTACATTATTTTTAATTTAAATTTATTCATTTTGTACCAACATTATCGTTACACAGTTAACCGTTCAAATGGATAGACTGCAAACTACTTTGAAAGACTTGCGACGTAAACATCGTTTTGCACAATTACAATGTCGTAGTTTAGTTGAAGAAAGGGCAGATATTCTTTCCCAACTTCAAAAGCAACAAAAAGAATTTATATCACTTAGACAAAGATTTGGTATGGCTCAAAAAGAAAATGAAGACCTTTCAAAATATAGAGTTAGTACACTGTCTTAATATTATTATTCGTTTAATAATTTAATTATTGCTATAAATGCATGTTAATATTTGTTTCTTTGTATTTAGGATGATTTGCCTGATTTGAAAAACAAAGCCATTTATGACTTAGATGATCCGGATAGACCAAAATTTACAACCAATGAACTGAAAGATATTTTAACTGAACGTAATGAACTAAAAACTCGTGTTAATGATCTTGAAGATGAACTTTCACAATTTAAACCAGTTGAACAGTTGACTATATCGTAAGTAACAGCATTGATTATAAATACTATTATTTATTGGCTATTTATAATCAATGGTAAATTTAAATTTTTTATAAATAAACAGCTTTTACACAACATTCCGCTTAACAATCACAATTATAAATTAAATACCAAGAAAAATAACTGAAAAAAGTTTGCTGGTACCAATGTAATTCAATTTTTCCTTTGCTTATGTCTTATCTACACCTATCTATTCGTAAAAAAAAAAATTATACCTCACTAAATAAGCACGTTTTTATTTTTCCATTTGCACGCTTGGTACGCATATGCTTACTACAATTTGCTTGGTTTACTACAAATCTACCACTTTGTGCATGTAAACTTGTACATTAGCCAGGAAAGGGATGAAATCCAAGAAACGCGGGTACGAAGAATTTTGTTACGAAACTGTACCACCAGAACAGACAGTCACCGAAAAAATCCTGACACCGCTACGGTCGATAAGGAAGGCACGCAAATGTCAATCATCACCCCAGAAAGTTCACCAGATGTAACATCCCCAATCAGGTAAGTTAAAATTACTCATGTTTGACACATATATAATGACTTCTAAGTAGCAAAATGTTTACATTTTCTCATTTTATTTGCTCTTTTTACAATTATTGCTATGGTAAGGTATTTTTATTTCATAAACGTGCATGGTGGTAGAATATTGATTAATTAATTTTTCTCAGACAAAAACAACAGCTAGTATATGCGAAACTAAAATGACTACACAAGTATTGAAAAAAATGTTTCAATATGTGAAAGTATGTTAGCAATTACATGCATTATGTTATTTATTAATTTAAAATAATATATTTTCTATGCTTTTGTCCAGTAAGCGAATATGCTAATTATGCACATACATTTTTGCCGAACCGCAGTGTATTCTCTCGCTGTACAGAATAAAATTTAATTAAATCTTCATATTTTTAAACTAACATGTTGATAATTTATTTATTGTTCAATCATAAATTTTGTATTTTAATTCTTATTCAGGTCCGACGACGAACAGGAAGAAGGTCCTGTTCAAGGACCATTGCCTTTAGAACCTGATGATGCACCATGGAAACGAAATCCAGAGTCTGGCATTCGTAAACTGTAAGTGAAATATTTTTTTCAATAATTAATAAACCATATTTTTTAACTAAACTTTTTTTCTGATTACAGTTTTCGTAAAATGTTTGCTGAAACTAACAACTCTTTATTTTCTAAGACTAGTCCTAAACATCCTAAGTTATCATTATCCAAAATGGCTGTATCCATTGGTCATTCGTCTATTATGGGACCGTCTGAAGTGTCATAAATAAACATTGATCTCAAACTTAATTATTGTTTATTAAAATTTACAAGTATTATTTTAAGGCATATGCATAGCTAAATTATAAGGGATCAGTAAACATAAGAAACTTTAAATCAAATGAAATTAGTTTTAATTTTTTTTTTTCTTACATGTTTATCTTACAATATTTTTATCATGATTATTTATTATTATTACTTAAAATGGCTTAGGCATAGCTCATATAATTTGAATTAAATTTTCTTGTTATTTATTTTACATAATTAAATGCTCATATAAATACAAGCAAATATTTAATTTTACTGTATTAGAGTTTTAATCTTAGTTTTTTTATTAGCGCTAATTATTTTGAGATAAAACAATATATCAGAGTATTATAAATTAAAAGAATTAGTCCTATTTTAATTGAAAACTGATAAGACGTTTTGTATATGGTTATTGCTTTCAGATAATTTTTTTTATTATTATTCATTTATTTATTATTTACGTACAAAAAAAATATGCTATTACTTTGGTTTGTTAACTTTTGTGTTAAGTTAAAGGAAAAAATGCTCATGTTTTGTTTTTAATGACCTAATGACCCCTTTATCAATTGTATTACATTGTAATATAATAATAATTAGTGCAAATGCTTTTGACGTAACTCATCTAGTCGAGTTGATAAATTTGTAAAATTGTTATTTTTTTTTTTTTTTGTGTACGTACTTAAATCAAAGTGAAGTATATTTTTATAGTGATTTATAATCAAATATTTAACTATTTTTAAATGGTATTAAATTTTTAATTACGTTTATATTGTATTGTACTGCCCCATGCGTTTTAATATATAGAGCAATGTTTCATTGAAAAAAAATGTGTACTTCCAAAATGTTTATTTTAATTGGCTATGTTAAAATGGTAATAAATTATTTTGAATTAGACAATATTTTTATCAATATTTGTTTTTTTTATTATCCTTTGACTACCAGTCTAATACAATTCTGTTATCCATTTATCGATGTCTTTCTAACTTAATAAGGTTGTCAGCTGATCTTTGATAATCATGTTAATATTATGAATGACATTTAACTATTGTTATCTTTAAATGTCATGTAAGAAGTTTAATTTATGTTCAAAATGAGATTGTTTAAAAATGAATTAAAACATAATTTAAATTTTTCACAGACAATGATTACCTCTTAAACCTTATTTATCATACATAGAAACATGGTCATATTCAATGATACCTATATGAATAATGACATTGAGTGTTAAATTTAATATATTTATTATTTTTTAAATAAATTCAGCTTTTGGGCTTTTTCCATGTCCTTGTAAATCAAAACAAAGAATTTTTTGCACTTATTGATTAATTTTATTCTTCAACAGGAAAGGAAATAAATAAAAAGTAATACTGAAAAAACAATTTTTATAATTAAAAAATGTAGCTTTAGATGTTATTTATTTGAAAACTATGAATTCAATATTGTCTTTACTAGCATGACTCTGAGGACCTCTCGCATTTTGTTAATCATACCGAATTCGTCCTTTTTCCATTACGATTTTATATGTATCATAATTTACAATTTTTAGCAGTAATAGGTAAGACCTAGACTGCAGTAGTACGGTATCAACTAAATCAGGGTGGTCCAATTCGCGGACCGAATGCAGCTCTCGAAACCTTTGGTTATGACTCTCTAGAAGACTTGTATTTGAAAAGAAAAAAAATTACAATTATATGATAACAAAATCGTAACATAGCGTATATAATTTTTACGTTTGTTAGTTTTCAACTATAAAATGTAAGTATAATGACTAATGCCCAAAACCTTAATTCAATTAAGCTTGCTAAGTACCTACGTATCAGGCGTGGTAACGGTGGTCGATTTCCAATACCTTGTTACACATTATTACGAGTATGTCATTTTATATTTCATACCATTTTAAATTTAACTCTAGATATATTTCGTATGTAATATGTAGGTAATAGGTATATTGTGACCTAAATATTTTTTATTCATACGTAAATTACGTATAAGGATATTTTTGCAAAATCGATGTTTCCCTTTACAATTTTACGAGTGGCAATATAACTTTATTAGTTTGATTAAAAATACATTTCAAAGATCCGTACGCACTACAGCAAAACTTTATTGTCTTTCACTGCAGAGCGAAAAGGTAATAATTGTGTCTGGCTTCATTTTACCACTAACGACATAGTAAGCACTCAGTACCTATAATAGTCTTGGTGTAATGATGAGAATAATCGAAAAAAAAATAACCGAATTATTATAGTAGTCAAAATACAACCTATACCCTTACAAGAAGTTTACACAATTTCAATTATAATAGGTACTATTCATCTCTCATAAAAACGCCATTTAAAAAAAAAAAAAATTAAATAATCTTTAAAAACATGTATTTTAATAATATAAAATCTAATTTTCGCGGTAGTCTTGCAAATCTGTTGATGACTTCGTCAATATCAATTTCGTCATTTCTACAAATATTCATGAGCGCTAATCTTGTCAGTCGGTCTTGTCCAATATTTTTTTCTTAAATAGGTTTTCAGTTCCCGCAATGTTGAAAATGAACGCTCTGCAATAACAGTCATTACAGGCAAAGTAGCTAATATTGTTAAAAAGCATTTTGTATTCGGATAGAAATCGCTAGACATTTGACCTAAGGTAGTTATAATGAACATTTTTGACGATCATCATCAGTTATATTCTGCCACTGTGTTTGCCAGATTTTAATCTCGATATCAAACGTATTATACCTAATTAGGTAATAATGATTTGTAGAACAGTGCACATTCCGTAAATTTGTTATGTACTTATTAATTAATGATTGTAAAGTGGATATTACACGATGATGTTTGGAAAACCTTTCTCTTAGTTGAAAAATAAAATGATTCAATAATGACAAAAAAATAGTACGTTTATAGTGTTGTTTTGGTGAATCGGCTGGCGTATTATCTCGACAAGTTTGCTGACCTACTGTTCTGAGCAACACAATATCATCTTCAAGCATTGCTTTTTCGCAATCAGAAAAAATATTTTTAAAACTCATCTGAGTTGACTGAGTTACTTTGCAATCAATTAATCCATTATCTGTGCCGTAGCCGCGTTGTCGTACCACCCGGCGCCTACCTATCGGCTGCAATACGCGGGTATTCATTCTCAGAACCGATAACTGTATGGTGATAATATTATGACGAATTGTATTAATATAATATATTATATTGTATTGTTACCTTAAGTGGACGTCGCACTCGCATGTGTTATCTCTGTCTTACATATGTACAAGTACAACATAGCAAATTTTCGTTCACCAGAATCCATTTTATGTCGTTAGCTTTAACATTAGAGTCAATTTACCTATTGTTTAACTTAAATGTAAGAATTTTATCTAGGCAATTACATTAGATTTTATTGATATTTTAATTTTAAGCTGAGTTATAGCTACATATATAAGATATTGAAACTTTATAACGCTCATAATTCACTTTGAAATTATTATAATATTAATAAAAACCTATGTCGTTGCCTTGATAAAATTCTTACATTTAAATTTAATAATAGGTAAATCTACTCTAATGTTAAAGCTAACAACATTAAATGGATTTTTTTGGATGAAAATTTGCCATGTTGTATGTATGTAAGTCAGAGACAACACATGCGGGTGCCGCGTCCTCTTAAATCTAATCATAGAACGCGTGAACCCAAAATATCGAATGGTGCGATAATTGTATTTACCTATTTATTTTGACAGGTACTGCAGTAGTCGAAAATAATTAATAATTATTATTATTGGCGTTCTAAATCAAGCGTAACGTGAATACAAATCCAACGCAAATGTGCCATTTGAATAAGCTATTCAACCAATTACTAAACATTGTAGGTGATGAGATCGTACACAATCGATTAAGTGCCTCGTTATTGTCAAGTTAACAATTTTTAATTTAAATCGTTTAGTATATTAAAAAAAAAAAGTAAGTTAACACATTCAAACGTTTCCTAAATTTATTTATTTTTTAACAACATCGTTAAGTGCATAATGAATGAATAAAAAAATTAATTTTACTCAGTTAAAGATAAGATTTGACATTAGGTATCTAATTGATGGCAAAAAATGGCAGATGTTTTCTAAACCAATAGATGCATGAATGCATGATCTGAAATTCTTTCAAGCTCGGAAACATATACCATACAGTGGCATTACTGAAATTGGAGTATTATGGTGAAAATGCGAAAGAGAGTTCTCCAGCAAACTGTTCTTCAAAAGCATTCAAAGAGAGGAACCTATTTAAAATTGAGAAAACTAGTCATGCTTTGATGAAATACAACTGTATTGTTATTTGAATTTGATACCTAAGTATTTTTATCAAAATACTTCAAACTTTGAATGATTCATGCTTTTATATCCATCAAAAAATGTTAAAAATGGTTTATTTTTAGCTGTATTTAAAACATATTATTTATAATAAAATACACAAGACATGATGCTTATTGAAAGTGTAATTTTGAATTTTCTTGTAAAAAGTTTTGATTTTTTGTAGTAGGTATCTAATATTTTACAACTAATAAATAAACTATAAATAAATAATAATAATAATATTTTTGTTTAAAATTAACTTAATGATAACACAGTTGTATATAGATTAAAAAAGTTACTTACTAAAATTAAAATAAGTTGAAATAATTAAAATTTTTTGAAAACAAAAAATGTTTATTTTTGTATAGGTTTTGTATTTTTTACGAGCATTATTTTATTAATATTTAAATTTTTTTTTATTAAATATCTTACAACTTTGCATGGAATAAAAACTATAAAATAATATATACATATATGTATTACTATTTACTATTTGATCTATGATAAAGGGAAATAAAATAAGTTGAGCCATACTGTATGTTATTAATATTATTATACATTGTCGTATTTAGATAAAATGTGTTTTTTTTTTTGAATTTCAAATCACTGAATTCTAACCCATAAGCCACATGTACCTACAAAAATAATTACAATACTGAATGTACAGTGTACACTGTAGTCTGTAATACTGTATTATAAACATAAATAATTTATTATTTGTTATCTACTTTGTTTAATTGTACAAAATTTTCTTGAAGTTTCCTTCAATCTTTTCATTGCAATACACTAACTTCTACATTTTATTAGTTCATTGTGCATTCTTTCTGTAATAAATAAACGTTTCTATGAACTCAAAATTTATAAAAAAAATTAAATATTTTCAAAATGTTTCATATACATTGTATAATAAAAGTATCAAAAATATAGTATACTTATAAGAAGGTATTAGATACACAAAAATTTAATTTTAATGTACAAATAACAAAAATAATATTTAATATTTATAATTTGAAAAGAACTAACGACTTTATTCAACCATATTTCCAGCTTTAACACTCCATTCGTTTAGAAGGATATTAATTGGGTATAAAGCTTAAATTTAATTTAATTTATTCAATGATTATACATTAAATCATTTTAATAAATATTTACTATTTTATGGAAATATAATATAGAGTGTAACCTAATTGGTCACAGATAACAATGAAAAACACAATTTTTTTAGAATAAAATTGCGTGTATATTTTTTTCTTATGCACTTATTTGATTGTCTTACAAACAGGCGATGAGAAATATTAGTCAATTATTGATATCATATACACTAACAACACTGTTAACATAAAATTTAAGTTAATTATTTTAAAAAAGATCTGCACAATAGGTAATTCTAAAACAATCACAATATATTTTACGTTTTCTCAACGACATAATATAACCATAGACATATAACATGTACAAACGTAATTATAACAGGTGTAAAAAATAATAATTTACTAGTACATATGATGTTATTTTTCTGTTAACATGAAAAAATTAAAAACAAAAATCAATAACATAAATAAATAAATAAATAAATGTACATATACAAATTCACAATGATATGACAAATAAAAATAATATTAAAATTAACAGTAAATTCATTTCAATAAAACGAGTGTACGATACTCGATCGTATAACATTTCAAGTGATTTAAAATCACACTATATTTGATGCTTAGTCTGTTAACAAAATCAATATATTAATACGATTTATTTTACCATCAGTGCTTATATTTTTTTTTTAATTATTAATGTTTCTGATATATTATTATTAATATTAAAATGCAAAAATATAATTATTGAAAATTAACAGATATTATTTAGGAAAAACAAGCCTTAATAACATAATAAGCATAAAAATTATACAACTAAAAGCTGCGACTAATTTAATCAGCAGATTAGAGTAAATGTTTTGGTTTACTTTAAAACTATATAATATTTACACACTAATAAATATTATAATTTTTTTTTTCAAGACTAATTAAAGATAGAGAAGAAAAAAAAATCCTAAATCATCACAGTTAAAAAAAATAAGGCTAAAGCATATTATGTTGGAATATATTACACAATACATATAAATAAAATGTATAAATATGCAGGACAAACAAGTGACAGCTAATATTGGTAAATGACATTCTTGTTTATTTATTTATTTAGTGATGTTGCAATATATGGACGTGTAGTGTACATAGACTTAATTATGTACACGTTAGTCACAAACTATTAAAATTAATAAAAAAAACAACATATTGTGTGTGTGTATGTGTGTGTTAGGATGAGATGAAATCTTTGTATATAGTTTTATTTACTATTTCAAACAGATTCTTTTTTTTGCTGCTGATTCAATTGGTAACATTTTGAACAATAATGTTTAGTCACAGATGACCCGAAGAACTCGCAGTCTTCCGTAAGACACTTGTCCACTTGGGAACCAGTGTCATAGAATGTAGATTTTGATAGATACATAGTGGGATCTTCATTTGTAACAGCCTTGACAGGAGTCATTAAACCGACTTTGACATGAGACTCAGAATCAGCTTCCGTGTAAAAACGAGATTTACCAGCTCCATAACGAGGCGTCGTATCTGCCTAAAACATTTAAAACAATTCTATAAAAACGGCACAATGTCCACAAGCAGGAATTCGATTAGTATAATTTATTCATTATCTTATTTCTAAACTTATAAAGTAATACAATTAAGTTAAAAAATTCATAGTCACAACAATAACTTAATGCAGTATCCTAAAATATAATCCTTTATAAAATAATTATAAAAAAATAATCAAAACTCACGTAAGGTGAATGCTGAAACCGTTCAGCTGCTGTCCTTAAGTAGTTTTTAATCATTACATCGTGATATTCATGTTTTTTGTCCGAGTTGATCAAGGCGCAATACGTATACTTTGCTTGAGGTGATAAAGTAGACAGATTTTTAACAGAATTTGTCCTTGATAGTTTTGATTTCAATTTATTCCCTACTGAACGTCCCAGACTACCAAAGAGACCATTTTTGCAATTAGTATCATTGTTACCCTAAAACAAATCATATATTTTACATTATCTAAACATATTTAAAGGATATCATTATAAATACTTGAGGGTCAAGTTTCACAATGTCCAAGTAACTGTTCAATAATGACAATGAATCTGTAAATGATAGTTCTTGATTTTTATCAGGAGAATGGTCACTTTCACCCGGATCAACAGGAAATTGTATTGGTAAGAGTTCACCATTTGAGTCCACCAAAGGTATAGCACCTGAATTCAAAGATTAAGCTATAACCAACTATGATATACCTAAAGGGTTTGATAATGATAAAAGTATATGTGTTACCGGCAAAGTAGTGAATATAGGCACTCTATAAATTCCCTAAGAAATTCTATATAATTCCTTGAACTATTTGGCAATGTATTAAATTTGAATGGTAATTTATATTATGCCTAGGTATTCTATACAATTCCTAGGATTTCTATTATAGACATTTTAATACAACAAATACTTTTACAGAAGTGAAAAAAAATAATATTTTTAAAGACGTATATTGAATTTTCCTGTATGCACAAATAACATAATATAATTAACTAATAATAATGATAATACATCGCACACGTGTTGTATGCAATAGCATAATCATCAAGATAAACATTAATTGTTGATTACAGAGGTACACTAGGTACAAATCTAAGTTTTATATTAATTATATATACTTTTCCTGCTTGAGGTTAGGTGATTTATAGAATACCTAGTCATTGTATTACATTCTATACTTTTCCTACTCAATTTTGGTATTCTATAGAATACCTAGGATTTCTATATAATACCGGATTCAACACATTGCCAGTAACATATACATTACACATACAAGAAAGAGTAGAATTTGGTGTTTCCATTGCAACCAAAGCTGAAAAATGCCCTCCATCATAAGCCAATAATAAAGGAGAACGATGACAATCACATGGGTAACATTCCAGGGGCAAATAAATACCTCCAAACTGTATAGGAGCCAAGGCTTCACCATTCATATCCTATAGGTCAATTTTATTTAAAACCAATTGAAAATATTGATTGAATCACTTTACTACAAGCTAATTTATTAAAACTTAAAAAAATAAACACCTTAAGAATAGTATCTGCTATGACAATAATAGGTCTTTTTAAAACATGTGCCAAAGCATAAACGTGTATTTCTTCAAGGCTCTCATAAATGTATCCTTCAGTATCTGCATTTCCACTGTTTTTTAAAAATATACATCAAATAATAGTAAAAAATAATCAAAAAACAAACAAACCTTGATATGCTCTGTTTCCTCATACGAGGAACAGTGGAAGCCATATTAACAATTGCATTCCATTCTCGGCGCCATTCTTGTTCTGTATATACAAGACCAAATAATGAATTCATAATAGTTTGTTGTCGTTGCCAACGCCGCCAAAGTGAATGTCGAGCTGGACCATTGCTGAGGAATGAGTGCAAAGCTTTCCTCAAATTTAATAACCGATCATGAAATCCCCAAATACCTATGACAAAAAAGTAAATATAAGTATTGCTTGATATTTCTCAATAACTCTATATCTTAAGTATAGATTAAATTAGTATGTGGTCTATTTATGAAAAAAAGAGTAAATACTTTTTATGATATTTAATATTTTAATATTATTTTGTCAGTTATTGCTATATCATATGTAATTGGAAGTGCATACCTATCTTATAAATACAATTAGCTTATTACAAAATATTGATAAAAATTAATTTAACGAATTATTTCCCATAATATTCAATGCTGACATTCAATTTTTACAATATAAGTTATTGTTAAAACATTTATGGATCTTTAAAAAACTGTCTTATTATTATTTGTATATTTTTTAACAGTTTATTAACAATATAATAGATAGTCACCTAGTGGCAGAATGATATATCTTATATAGTGTAAAGCGAGGTGTAGAGGCAGGTTGATAACAGACAAATACCTACCATAAATTAGTTAAATAAATAAATAACTATCTCAAATTAAAATGTGAATGCTTTGGAGAAAACTTTAGTAAATTATTTAGTTACTAAGATATTATTGCTCAAGTCAATAAATGTTTAAAATACTAAATAATATCTATGTTACTTCAGCTCACCCAATGAAGCAGCATGCAATAGACAGTTTCCATCACCAGATGTCGAAAGTGGCCAAAGCCTTTGACAAAATCCAGTCCACCAATTCAGTCTTGAAGCCTGTTCAAGAGAACTCTGCATTGCTACTGCTATCAAGTCTTTTTCAATAAACATTCTAAATTTTTCTAAATAATAATTGAACAATAAACATAATGTTAATAATAATATTATTTGAAAAAAGTAATCAAAAAATACATTTATAGCTATAATAAATAGTTGTATAATTTATTAGAAAATAATATTATCTATGGTTAAATTTACCTTCGAGTTGCAACAAATCAGGTAGAATAAATGTATAAACTGGAGTTTCAACAATCTGTAGTTCATCCTCAGTGTTGTCAATAAATATCAATTCTGATCTTGCTTGGGAAACTATGTTCACATTATCAGTAGCGTGTGAAATTCCTCTTTTGAGTGTTTTATCTAAATTAATAAATTTTAACACTTTTCCATCAAAAAGCCAAATATATAATTTATTTTAAAAAAATGTGATAACTGTACCAGTACAAAGAATGGAATAAAACAAATAATGAATGAATATTTATTTAGTTATAAATACTTTACAAGTAACAAAATTACATAGTAACTTACAGGCATTTGTACTGAATGGTTCGTCATGATGCTGAGGTGGAGTTGTTCCGGTTAATGGTATAAGTATAGCATTTTGGGATAATGAAGTTGTTTCATCCATGAAAGGGACTGCTGTAATGTTACCGTTCTCAATATCCTCAAAACTATTACTGTTGTGGCCATATAACCCAGAATCAGGTTGGTCGTAATGGCTAGAGCTGTCTCGCTCCACCTTGACCAATAGAGCATTGCTTTCCTCCACGTTGGTATTTATTCTACAGACATTAAATGTAAAGCAAATTATAATTAATGATAATTTAATCAAAATAATATAAACATTACTCGTTGAACATTTTTATTCACAAATTAACAAAGGAAATGTACTCAAAGAAAAAATTCTGATACAACTATGGGTTAGCTTGGTATAAAAATCAATTAAAAAGTTTAAAATAGAAACATATCTAGTTTTAAGTGTATGATTAATGAATTTAAAAAGTTTGATAATATAATATGGTAACTATGTATTATGAGAGTCAAAATCATTTTACTTGTATAGTTATATACCACTATCAAATTGGCAAATGTAAATTGAGAAAAATGTCAATAACACATTGATTAAACGAGAAGGAAAATAATTAACCAACCAAAATGATATATATAGGTATGGTATACTAGTGTGGATAGGTCAATAGGTGAGATTAGTTCACATGTTTTGCTGAACGTTTATCAACAAATCAAACGTGGACTATACTTTTATTTTTTATTTTTTTTTTTTGTACTTGCGGTCAACAGTCATTATTCATTATCAACGCATAATGGCGATTATACCGGTAAAAAAGTACTCGGGACGATTTGAATACATTACTGAAACGTACGTGTAATTTTTTAGTGTTGTTTGTTTAGATGCGAACATGTTTACCAAGTGATAGGCATAGCGTAACGACAGCAGGTACTATATTGAGCGCGGAACGTGTGGTGAATAATAATCGTAAATATTTCATCCGAGCGCGTCTTGAGTATTAAATAATATGATATAGCTGTAGGCGGAAGTCAGCTGAATTTCGAAGATAAAAAGATAGCGACCGAAATTAAAAATAAAAACGACCAGAAAGAGTCGGGGGATGGGATAGGTTAAGTTTACTACAGTCGCCGAGTTTGTGTTTGTCGCTTACGAATCGCTCGGTAATGGTTGAGTTTAAGGTGAAACATATACCACAGTGAATGGCTTATAGAACGAGAAAACCTGTCGTCGGTCAGACAGTCGGACCTACAAAAATTCTTGTTTACTCACGTCCGGATCTACGACGAGTATGGCATCGAGCGGATGGGAGCGGACGAGAGCGGAAAGATCGTATTTGCGAAAACGATGACGAACAGACAACGCGTGCTGTACTGCTGTGTCGCAATTATCGCGTAGCGCACTGCCTGCCGGATGATGGCGAATGGCGATACTGCGAACTGCGAACTGCCTACGACGAACGTAAACGGTAAACGTAGCAGGCGGGACGGAATGAGAACGGTGGCGGCGGTGGCGGTGGTTTCCGACGCGAGAGTTACACTATTTCAAGGTAGCAGAAACCACACAGCATAGCAAAATAAATAACGAACGAAACAATAAATAAACAAAATATTATTAGGTATGACGACAACAAAGACGAAATAATGTTATCGTGAACGGTTTTTTTTCTACTATTATTGGTTAATAGTTATTACCCGTGAAACGGCATTACAGGACATCGTTTATATCTCCGATCGGCGGTCGCATCATGATCGTTGAAATCTGCAGCAGCAGCTGATTGTAATAATTATTATGATAATAATAATATCGTTTTATTATTATCGACGACGACTACGTGGTCTGGTGGTCAGCAATAGTTGTAATAGACATAATTGTGCGCGTGCGAAACCATGAATGGCACGAATAATCGGACGGCGGACAATAATATTAAACTGCGACGAGTATGCGCGGCGACGTTATCAGAACGAATAACGTTAATTTCACTGTGAAAATAAAAACGTCACATGAGATTTTAAAACCGTCTCCTCCAAGATGACGTTCCTAGTGTTCTTACCTCCCACGCACCCTTAGTCGTAAACTCGTAACACCTTTTGTTGAACTACGCGCGCGCGCTACCAAACATATTAATATGTTGGTTATTAAAATAAATCACGCATACCGACTTATAAACAATATTATAATAATCGCAGATAAAATGAAATGTTTGTGCTGCTATTCGGTATTCATGTTGTTCAATGCAAATTTCGATTCGAGAACGAATCATAAATGCGGATTCGCATCGCGTTACCGATCGATAAACGCATTGTGTTATTGTTTTTATTACATTTTCCCTTAGTACAAACACAAAAATAGTGTTTGGTGTGCGTGTACGACGTTATCATAAATAATATTACATTATTGACAACTATGAACTCGTCGTACGTACTAACGATATTTTATAATACTCGCAATTTCGATGGTTTTGGGTACTATGTTTGATTTTGATTTAAATTAAAATAAAATGCATTCGACGAGCAGTTTTTTTCGGTCACGCCGATCGAACGTGCAGCGCACTTCGTACCGCGTTAACCTAGGTTGCTGTATCCTACGACCACGGTCCGCTTCACCAGCAATCGTCATTAATTGCCACACACCCACTCGACGGGATCTATTTACTATGTAGTATAATGTACGTATTACCTATTTCGTCGCCGATTCGATGTGTGCAATACTTTTAAATTATAATACATGATTATTATTTACTAATAGTGACTAAATGGCAATAAAATATGAATAATTGTTGCAGCGATTTTGTTCAATATAATATTATTACACATGCCTAGGTACTTAACATTTAACAGACGCGGTACAGGATATTATTGTTACTATATAACTGAATTACAATAATTCGAAATTAGTGAAATTATTCAATATAATGATTTTACTATTAATATACTAATATACAAACTCTCGATTTGTACGTTATTCCATAAGTACGCATACAAAATAAAATATTGTATAAACTGATGGACAACACTATACCTCCTATTGTAGCATAATACTTTCTGCGAGTCCCAAATAGCTCCCGTCCATTGCTTGATTATTTGACTTATTTCCAAACATCAGACGATAATATCGGTAAACCGTATTTTTAAAACGATATATCGAAAATACTGAAATATTGAAATCATTATTGTTTATACAGAAATTATAGCTGATAATAATTTTGCTCGTAAAATTTAACCGGATATAGGTACGGCGATGTATATATGGCCCATAATCGTGTTAGCTTGTGCAGTTTTTTCGGACTTCAGCATATTCACGATATCCGCGACCAATGTGTGCGTTCATTGATTATTATATTTATTTATTATTTTTCCGAAATGTTAAGGTAAAAAAAAAAATGATTGAAAATTTTTCGTTTTCTTTTCATTAAAAACTCGCCGACAGCGTGGAGCGCTGGAAATGTATAACAGATAGTTTTTAATTTAATTTTAAACAAAACAGCAGTGCTTGATTTTTTTTTTGGGGGGGGGGGGGCGGGGGGAGTCCCCCTTCTTTTTTAATTTTTTTTTAGCGTACCCCTTCATTTGCCCCCACGGTAATGTGACGGTTAATTTTGTGTGGAACGCTCATTTATCAAACATCCGATGAGTCCCCCTTCTATTTTTTTCCAAATCTAACACTGCAAAACAGTATTGGTGAAATGTACGATAGACATCTATCTAGAACAACCACCCACATTTGGATGACAATATTTTAAGGAGGAAGAGGACGATTAGTAATAGTTCAAAGTGTAAAGCTAGAATGTTCGCATGAAAGGTCCATGAAACTTCTCCGAAATTAAATCGAACCTCACTATTTACATGTTTTAACGACACAAGATATCAACGTTATTCATAAAACAGTATATTATGATCGTTTAAAACCACTACTAAAATTATCTAAGTCGACAGGGGAAGCTTAGGATATTTTAAGAAAAATTATATTATGATTTTGACAGGCGAGAATTTTTGATAAAGCATCAATTATTGTTATTATTTCATGTGACACAAACTTGAAAATTCTCAAGAATAACCGTTGCATTAATGTTGATAGTACGTTCAATTTTTTTACCCGATATTTACCACTCATGATTTACATAACGGACATTACCTTTCCTTGATTTACTGTTTTTTTACCAAATAAAACCTCGGTCACCTACAGAAAACTTTTTCAGCGTTGTATATGGTTACATGTAGATCCACAAGTTGTTTTCGCAGCTTTTTAACAGGCTATTCACTTTGCAGCACAAGAAGCGTAGCTATTGGTAAACATAAAGCAATGAAGATTCCCTTTAGGTCAACCTTCGGAAGATTCAATCAGCAAGACTTGCGTCAGAATCTAGAGACAAAAGTTCTTAAGTTGAAAGAGCGCTGAAACATTTATTTGGCCTTTCTTACCAGTTACCACTTTCCATCGTCAGGATTTTTGAATGGTTTCAGAGACGATTTGATGGCTATCAAACCGAAAGTCGACAAAACAGACAAAGTGTTCAGCCATATTTTTGAAAATAATATAATATCACATAATAGTCGTTTCCTTCCTGAATGTTTCCTGTTTCTTTGACCATTAATGGCTGGGAATCGTTCCACGATAATTTTAACAGCGAAGTCAATACTGCACATCTAAATATTTTTAAGGTTATTGGTATACTGACCGAAATACAATCCAAAATGCAAATTGAAGCTCAAGGGCATGACAATAAACTTAAATCAAAAATAAGCAGGAGTTCATTGGAAACATCCTTGACGAATTTTCATCGAATGAAATAACGTATATGGATTATATAAAAAAATGTTGCCTTAAAAATGTATCCAATGCATGATTTTTTAATATTTTTACATGTACATACATTTTTTCCTATTCTTAATGCTAAAATTTAAATCACAACGTATGATTTTTTTATCATTTTTATAATTTACTTAGAATATAACTTATAACCTTACACAATATAATATGATAATAATACAACACCAATACGTAATATTTAATCACTCCTCTTCTGATACAGCCCTAAGTTGGTTGTAACTCATAAGCGCATTAAGATATACGTTTATACTGTGTATATTGTATAGTTATCTTAAATGATCATCAATCTTCATCGTAATTCGTAACGATAAAATACGATACGATAATACTAAAATTCAACTGAATTCGATCACTGTTGATGTATTTTTGAATTATAAAAATACTATATATTTAATTAAAATTAATAATTAATAATTTTAAAACAAAATTTATAGTGTAATGGATTACGATACGGGTACAATTGCAGTTGCACTTTTGGTCTATCGAAAAAAAATCGACAATTTGTGCTTTTGGATTTCACAGCTTAAGTCTGTATAGGAAAGAATTTGTGTTATAAGAAACCTGAGCCGTTTAAGAATTGACTTTTTTGTAAAATGGGAGTCGAATATGTTATATTCAATTATTTTTTATAACCAAAATATTCCGTTGCATAAAAACAAAAACGTCATTAGTGAAATCAATTTGTTACACATTTCTATTTTTACATCTTTAAATATTTCACTGTAGGGAGGCTTGTGTCTTGAGGAGAAAAATCTAATGATTAATGTACTATATATATTTATTGTTTAGACATAATGATAATTTATTACTCAAAACATGTAGTGCATGACTGCACTTGTGATAAAAATTGTCTATTATAATGGGTGCCAATAAAAAGATACTTAGACAGTTAAACGGTTGTAGGACACTTTATACAGTCATATCAAAAAAGTGAAAAACGCGGACAGTTTGTATTATTTCAAATAGTAATAAAATGAAAATGGCAGACAATTTATACTGTTTCAGGTTGTAATAAAATGTAAATCCCGGACAGATAAAAAAATATGTTTCACAATATTACTTTTATTGTATTATATTATAATCTATAAATCGTCATTAATATCATAATTATTATTGTTTCAAAAAAATAAAAAATAAAAATTATGAATATAAATTTAAAAGTATAAACTTAAAAGGTAAATGTGTGGCAAATTATCTCAAGTAATTGTGTACTATTTATAGTTTTATTTTCATGCTGAGTACTAACAGGCTTCATGCTTTTTTTTGTGCGTTTCTGTTTGTTTTTCGCTTATTTTTTTCCAAGTGGCTGCCACATTCGTCTAGTTGCAAAGACCGTAAAACCGTCCAATAATTTGGATTAGCTGATCTAATCAATTTATTAAATTAACTATTCCATCCCTCGCTAAAATTATTATTCTTTTGCGATTTATTAATTG